GATATCTATGTATGTAAAAAAAAATAAAATAATTTAGTAAATGGTGACAGAATTTTCATTTTTGGGTAAATCACACACACACACACACACACACACACACACACACACACACACAATGGGTGTTTGTTATGTAGGTCACAAGCTAATGTTTAACCGAGGTGCGAGCACTTATGTGGCAGGCGACAGGTGCAGGGTGCGACCTGAAATCTCAGGAGTCCTCCTCCAGTTTGAGTTTGAGTCCCGCTACACCTGATGCAATTTTTCTAATATTACAGAACAGGCCTGATTAAAGTAAGAGCTGAGATTTTGAGTTCAAAAGAGTGATATTGTCATTCTTCTGCATCACCTCTGGATCCCATTCTGTGGACCAATTTCTAAGGCTCAAGGATGGAGACTCTTCTTTCCCCTCCCAGGTGCAGGGAACGCATTTCTATTTATACTTTTCTCAGGAAATCGCCGAGCCATACGTGCGCACACCTGTGCCGGTAACATGCACGCACACAATTGGTGTATAGAAACAGGAAGGAAAAGGAATGGCAAGTAACACATTGAATTAAACAGCCCAATATTTGTTTTATTTACAACTTCGTAAAATATGTTTACTCTTTATCGCTTTAATTCACCAAATTGGTACTTTGCTTGGCAACTGCAAACACCCTGCTGAATATTTTTATTTAAAAAAAGTTATTTTACTTGTAAACACTTCTAGTGAAAAGTAATATATTTAAAATACATTTATTTCATACTAAGTATAGTTCAAATCTATTAACATATTTACTGACATATCGCTCGAGACATAAAAATTATAATTACACTTATTTTGGAGTACTACTATGTGCACAATTCTTAATATTAAGCCTAAATGTGCTTTAATGTCACTATTTATGAGGATTGTATGATCATTGAATAATATTGGTCGTTAAATGCAAGATATTTAAAGTGTACTTGCAATAATTCCACTTTAGCACAATCAAATATACTTCAGCATATCTTTAGTTGGACTTCAGCACTACTTCTGCACAAATAAAGTGCCTTAAGTACAAAATTAGTTGTTCCAATTTAGCAGACTTTAAGTATACCAGTTCAGAAGTACAATTGCAGGGTATTTTTTATTGAGTACATGAATATGTAAATGTATTTGTAGTATACTTAGCATGAAATAGATGTATTTCAAATACATTTTAGTATATTTATTTTTCACTAGGGACTGTTTACTGTGTGCAGCTCTTTATTGAACACTGCTGTTTGTCATATAGTGCTGTTACCACCATTTTTTTTAAACAAACCACATGAGTCTGTGTGTTTGAGTGATTTTTTTGAGTGAGTTTTATGGTTAAGAGGCACTCCGTTTTGTGTAAAATCACTGTAATGCACAATCTCTCATGGTTTATTGCTTTAATTTAACCTGATTTCCTCAGTGTGCTAGTGATAATCATTTCATTTTCTTGATTACGCAGTTGTGACTCTCTCTCTATACAAATGAAAATAAACATATGATCCATGAAGAAGTTGTGATGCAAAGAAAAGAGTGAAGACCACATCTCCAGCCCCCTTCATCCGAATCAACAGAACGGGCTGCATTTCAGAGATGCTGAAGCGTCGGAAAATCGGTCAGTGGAGTGGAATTTCTCTTTATGTCTCTTTCTACCGACCACACAGTCTTGCAGTAATTTTAGGGTTAGGGCCACAGTGGCATCTCCTCTATTCCCATCATTATCTCCATCTGCAACCACATACGGTGGAGTCTACAGTGCAGCTCAACCGAAATGCTGAAACGACATTTAAAGTGTTGGCTGTATGTGAGCTATAGATACTAGTGACGACTCTCACTCCAGTTCAGCCAAACAAATGTAGACTAATCGTTGATCTCTCTCTCTACCTAATTGTGTCTGCCGTTAAGCACAAAAGTGACCACACACCTAATGTTTAGTGCCCTTCTAAGTTGTCCTCATTCGAATTTCCTGTTTTATGATTACGTATGTTATCGCTGAAGTCGCTTCATAAACTTTCTGTGGTGATGGTTCCCAAGCGAAACCCCTGTTGAAGCCCCTTCATGTGGCTCAGCTGTGTGTGGTCTTCTGCTCTGAGCGTCTTTCAGAATTGTGGCCCATAGTCTGTTATCTAAATTCTGAGTAAATATTCGACCAAGCACTTAATAAAAATAAATAAATCATCTTCTTGAACTTTTGACCTGGCTTGCAAATTTACCTGGTAATGACTCTTATCATGTGATTACACACAGTGTGTCAATACCGATTCAATCGTTACCATAACAAACGGAAAGCCATATAAAATTCACACCCTATTCAGTAGAATATTCATTAAGCATTTCCCTTTATTACTAAGATATCCCTGACAATGTTGTGTGATTGATATACTATTACAGCATATCAGTTTTTTCATTAATATTTTTATATTAATATTTTCTATTATTATTTTGATTTTCGTAAACATTTAGTAATTTTGTTGTTTTCGTCCTATTTATACTACTACTATTACTTATTGTTATTATTAAATTATACATTTGTGCAAATTATTTTGTAATTTTATTAAATATTTTACTATATTTTTAAAATGCCTTTTATTTCATGTTTCAGTTTTTTTTTTGTATTTTAATCAGTTAAACTAAACAAAAAACTTGAGTGTTGCCTTGTCAACTAGCTGAAATAATAATATAATATATTTTATTTATATAGTAACATTTGTTTTATTTCAAGTAAAATTATGATTTTAGTTTTAGTTAACAATAATGATTTATACAACATTAGCCAGTCTTTAAAGGGATATTTAACCTCAAAATAAAGATTCTGTCAATTTACACATTCTTCAAAAAGAAGATACGTGTTTTTTTGTTCATAAAAATGAACTTCTTTTGTTTTCTCCAGAGGAAAGGAAGTCCTACAGGTTTGAAATGACACGAGGGTGAGTAAATGATTGCAGATTTTTCATTATTGGGTGAACTGTCCCTTTAAGAGCAGCAAGCCCCAGTGTTTCCACAGAGGTGATTGACTGAGATATACATTAGCTCACACATGCGTCTTTGAGCAACACTTGCTGCTGTATGTTGATGGGCTAAGTAACAAAAGAACTGCTGTTTGAGTGGACTACCACCTGTCCTTCAACAGCACTGCCTTCACAACTTCCCCCACACTTTCAAACCACTCTTCATCCATTCATGACTTAAGTTTCAAGATTTACGATGGTATTGCCACCTTGGTAACTAGTGTACTTGAAGTGCTTTACATTTTATAATCTCAAATTGCTCTCATGTAAGAACAAACTGTACTCGCAGAGAATACAAAATAAGAATACTGCTCTCATCATTCACGTAAAGGCCTTAAAATTCAATACAAATAATTATATTCCAAAATGTATTGTAAAATCAATCAAGAATAATGTTTGTGCAAGAGTAGCTACTTTTTAATGGTACATTTCTTTTCAAATCCATCTCTTAAGTTCATATGCATGTGTGAAAAAAGGGTGTGAGGTGAGAATAGTGGAGTGGGAAGTTAAGGAGATGGCATTGTGAACCAAAGAAATCTCTGAAATGTAGGGAGCAGCCCCTGGTGTGAAAGATTTTGTGGATATGGTGTCGTCAGAGGTGTGGAAAGTGGATTTTTTGACAAGAGCAGTGCAATGCAGCAATTAGCTCAACAAACAGGGGTTGCACATCATTTTCAGAATTTTGGTAGTACATTTCAGTAAGAAAGATGGTTTGAAAAACAAATCTCTTTTTAAGAGTTTGAGTAATTTTTAAAATAATATATCAGTTACGTACAAAGAATATTCCCTATTATAGCCATTTGTTGCTGTTTTTTGTCTAAATGAACTGAAAGCGGGGTGACTGTCGTAAAGTGCTCTCTGTCAAATTACTCCTTTCACTTGTGCACTTTTTGTTGGTGACTCCACTGTGTGTCTGTCAGTGGAGCAGCTATGTAGGGGTCTCAAACACAGGGAGCTTGACTCCTAAATTCCTAAGAGTTGCTATGGGACACTTTTGTCATTATTGAAGTATTGTACTCAAGCTCTTACCCGTTCTGCTTACAGTTGATGCATTTTCCAACAAAACAGCATCTTTGATTATTCTAATTTTTTATCAAGAAACATAAAATGAATATAAAATTTAGTATTTTAGTGTGACTGATATTATGATATTATAATTTTCATTAGCATTTTAAAATAGTTTTTTACATTTACATTTTTCATTATCATTTTAATTTTAGTTAACGTATTGATAATTTTGTTATGTTTTCATAATTCTTGTATTTGTTTTTCTTTTTTTTTTTAAACATCTATATTTTATATTAGGTTTAGATATTTAGCACAAAATCACAAAAATAAAAAAAAATAGCCTATTTGGATAAGTTAAAAATAATTGTATTTTATTTCAAGTAAAATGGTTATGGTTTTAGTTTTAGTCAACAGTAATAACCCTCGTCCCATATAGACTATACATACATGCCATACTTTAAAAGGATAGTTCAACCATAAATAAAGTGTCTGTCATCGTTTATACACCCTAATTTTTCAAAAAGAAAATGTTTTTCGTCTGAACTGAAAGCGAGAACACAAAACACAATTTTGCTTTTTTTTTTTAAACGATAAACATGACATAAATGAAAAATAAATGCTATAAATTAAAGACAAAATTTACTTTAATAGTTTATTTCTACAATGCATTGGATATCAGTTCAAAATATAATGTAAAAAATGATGGCATTTGTTGTATGGTTTTAATTGTTGGGCTACTGCTGAGAAAATCATGATCTTTGACATGGATAGGAGAAAAAGAAAACATTTAAAGGGGAGATAGCTACATCCATTTGATTGCCTAGCCTACTGTACATTTTACAGGTAAGCTACACGCTGAAAGAAAAGTCAGAGGCGGGGTCCCAGCACGGAACTCATACACGTCAATGCCATAGACTGTATGTCCATGAGTCATGACCACCTTCCTATAAAGACGTCGATCACATTCCAGCGGGCGGGGTTCATGAAGCTCCGCGTTTCTCACAATATGAGTCTGTCGAGAGCGCAGCTGGAGCAGCAACTGGACTGAGCGTGGAGCAGACAACATCACTGTCCACTCCGAACACAAAATGGATTACAGACGGGTTAAGCGTATTTTATTTGTCAGTGTATTTATGAACTTTGTATTTATTTCTCTTCAGAAAAAGGAAGGTACGTGGAATTTATTCTTTCAAACTTTCTAAACTTCTCACTCAGGATCTCGCACACATGGTTTAAACTAGTTTAAAGCTTTGTAGCCTACTGTGCCGTGTATAGCTACCTAAACGTCTCTATGGAAATCATTTTCATTGTTGCGATGTTTGGCATAGTGTTAAATCAACCTGTTTGAGAAATATTTAATAGCTACTGGTTTCGTCGATCTGGTGCAAGTTTGTGCGTAAAATTTCATTGTAAGTTTTAATAGGTTACCTCGAACTGTTGAAATTGTTTAAAATGTAATATATGCCTTTAATAGGCTGTTTTATATCTAAATAGCATGTCGCATTTAATGTAGGCTATCTCACGCGAACGTAAAACATTCTAGTGAAGTATATTTATAAGCGAAGAGTGAAAGTAGCAACGAAACATAGGCTAGCCTACTAACCGGACTTTGCAACGAGTCTTTCTATTATGAATTTTTATTTTGTTATTTTTAAATTATTATTATTTTAATTAGTAGCCTAATAGTTGCAGCAGACATAATTTCCACGTTTGTTTCTAGTAGTATTCCTGTATGCATTTACTTTATTGTTGCTGTATCAATTACTGCTGTTGTGTATCCTGACAAAAATATTTAACATGATATTTTTGCGTTATTGTCACAGAGGTGCTGTTGGATATGGTGGCTTCGGGAGCAGAGTTGGGTTGGTTGACATCGCCTGTAGAGCACGGGGTGAGTTTACTGTAGGCTACTTCTACTGTAAGAACCTTCAGTTATATGGGCTGTATTTCTTTTCGTTTGTTTGTCATTTTTGACTGAACAGGTTTTTCCTTATTGGACACGTATAATTCAGACTTTACCCTCAAAACGTTCCTGGAAAAGTTTCGAGGATTGCACATACTTTGCCTGCTGAACACTTGTAGGCTCGTGCGATTTCAAAGCCCTGTGTTAGCGACTGTAAAACTGAGGGTGTAATTAACTTTTAAAGGTTGGCGCATATGGTGCTTTTTGTGACTTGAGCTGAAGAAGCTATAATGTTAACTAGAATTTAGAAGCGTAACTGGTTTTGAAATCAAAAGGATGTGCTTTATAACGTGGTAGCTGGTTTATAACTGGTATAGACCAATTTGGACCAGCAACGAACCGTATTGGTCACAGTTTCTTAGGGTAGTCAAGCTGGGTATTAAGGAATGATAGCTGGTTGACAAGGTTAGATCAGCTAGTGTATTTTAAAACCATGTTCCAAAAGAGCTACTGGGGTTTCCAGCAGGGAATGATCTGGGATGGCAAGTACAGACTTGTTAAGTTTCCTTCCCACCAATACCTTAAAACGTGGAAAAAGCAAATGCACGCAAAATAATTAAATCTCAAGCATTTTCCTTTAGACTCTCATGGAAAAAGCTGATAAATTAAGAATGTGAACAAGGTGTCAGCATGTTCAACTTTATAGAAAGTTAACTGCACTCTTAATGAGCTGCTGTTTATCTAAAGAGTTCAATGTCTTTTAAATGTATGTAATGCTTTAGCCTAAACCACAAAGTTCATTTTATATGGAAGCATTCGTTGCAGAGACCGTTTTACTGCCATACCACACACTACGAAAACAATGCACCTCTCCTGTAATTAATATCACGGTGCACATGAAATTAGAGCTAAGAACACACATGCACACTGCATGTGAACAGATATGTTACAGCACATTACATCAGTCATGCAATAGAAAGACTTCTGCATTGTTCCTTGCCAGAAGTTGGTGGGTAATTGACCAGCATCCTCACTACTACTTAAAATTCCACGGTCAGGACATTTCGTGTTATTTTTGTCCTCAGCATTCGCTGGCATCTTTTCTTTGAAATTTTGTTTCCACAATCTTGGTTTTGATTTCTTGCTAACATCCATTTTTTTATTTCACGTTGCAGTGGGAGATAGGCCAGCGGGCTGTGAATGGCTCTCTGTTGTATAACTATTATATATGTAACGTGGAGGAACGAGAACAAGACAACTGGCTTCGTACTACATTCATCCAGCGCCACCCCACAGCCTCTCGGGTCTTCGTGGAGCTGCGATTTGTAGTCCGTGATTGCAACTCTTTCAATGCAGACTCGCTTATCTGCAAGGAGACCTTTAACTTGTACGCCTCTGAGGCCGACGCGGACATTGGCACTGCTTTCCGCAAAGGCCTGTTCCGCAAAGTGGCCACCATTGCTCCAGATGAAATATCCAGCCTTGGGGAGATGAAGATGAACATTGAGACAAAAGTAGTGGATAATCTTTCTCGCAAGGGCTTCTACTTGGCCTTCCAGGACATTGGGGCCTGCGTCGCCATCTACTCTGTCAGGGTTTACTATAAAACTTGTCCAGCAACAGTGAAGAGCTTGGCAGAGTTCCCTGAGACTGTGGCAGGGGGAGAGAATCAAGCCCTACGGGAGGTGGCTGGAAGTTGCGTCTCAAATGCTGTAAGCGAGGACCAACCTCGCATTTATTGCACCACGGATGGGGAATGGGTGGTACCTGTGAGCCAATGCCAGTGCAGACCTGGGTTCGAAGCCATGAACGATGCATGCCAAGGTAAGACATAAGTTTCTTTGTTTGGTTTCCACAGGCTGAGTCCAGCACCAGCTGTTGTCACTTAAGATTTCTGGTTTGGGTCAGGAATTTGAATATTGACTAGACTTCCACATAGATTATGATTAGCATTCAGTTGTAGTATATCATTATATAAATTACTGTATTATTTTACTAAAATGTTTTGTATTATTGTGAATTTTGTCTATCCTTACCATACATGCTTGTGGCTTGTGATTATTTTTCAGCACTGTATATAAGAAATACTAAGAAATATTATAAAAAGGATTTTTTTCCTTTTCTTTAATGGCTCTCATTTTCTACAATGTAGCATACTTTTCACACACTATATTTTTCACTTTTTAAGTTGCTTGTAATAATGATTGGCTATATATACAGATGGATATATATACAGTATATAGAGAGAGAGAGAATTTTTGTTCTTTATACCTCTGTAAAATGTAGCGTACTTTCTAGACACTGTATTTTACACATTTTAAGTTGCTCATCAGCCATTTAGTTCATGCTGTCACTCTTAAAATTTCAAGTGCTTTGAAACCTGTTTGCTCTTTTTCACTGTGCGTTTGACTCCCATAACCCCCAGCATTCCTTAAAACACAAGTTCAGACGTCAACGACTTTTGCAAACCTATTGTGCTTTAGGCAGAACGTTTCAATTACAGCTTTAGGCCTAAATCTCGCATTGAGGATGTGACAATTTCTCATTTTTATTAGGCGTATGTCACAGTCACCTGTTGTTGTTGTTTTTTCTCCTCGTGTGTTCTTATCCCTGCCACACCAGAGCAAGATCAGCCATGTGACAGTCCTAAAGTGCTTTGTGACTGTGGAAATGAGAGCACTGGCATGTTGGGACTTGATTAGAATAATTCCGTTTTAAACGTCCTCTAACCTCAACACTTTAACATATTTCCTCAGTTCAGCCACATGCAGTGACAGGTAAAATACAGGCAAGTGAAACTCTAATGACAGCAAAGTTTCAAACAGGGCATCTGGGTAACAATTTCTTAATTGTAGCGGTTACACATTACAGTGGCCAAGCTCATGTGCATGCATTTTTTTGGTTCGCGCACATTCCTTGTTTTATAGTCCAGGAATTGTGGGAACAGGTGTGTGTGCATGGTTTAGAATGGGAAAAGATAAAGTGTCAGACTTTGGAGAGGGAGGAGATTGTAGAGGAAAGGTGGAGAATGGAATGTAAAGGTAGCAGAACAATGTAGTGCTGTGTTCAGAGACAAGCCCCCCTCCGCAGACCCCCCCTGCCAGCGCCTCTTTCACTCGGCTGATGCATTCTTGCTAGGTTTATTAAGGAGCCTTCCCAACTACTGCCGGCCTGAGGAATTCCCTGAGGAGAGCTCCAGGCCAGAGCTGACTCACGTTGATGGATGTACTGTTGATTAAAGGCAATCATTGTCGAATAGCCAGATCAGGGGGCTATGGGTAAATGTGTGGGTGGGGTCAGACAACCGTTCGTTCTCTGAAAAGGATGGCAAACTGTCCTGTGGTGGTGAGAGTTCTTAACAATATAAATATCAGACATGCACGCGGCACTGTGGTTTAATCAGTATTGACGCTGACACAGTTTTCCACTAATAAAACACACCCTTTCTCAGTCATGAATAAAAGAGCGCATACCTTTGTTGACCACACAAAGACGTGCTGCCTGACCTATGCTAGACTGCACTAGGAATTCATGCCCACACCCTGTCACTCACAGTAAACCGAGGTTGCCAGAGTTGGACAGCTATAGATTCTGGAACATTTCAAAGTGCTATTGGCCTCCATATGGTTGATCTATAGGAAAAACAAGACACTGATGAAGCCGGATGGTCTTGAATCTTTCATAGTTGCATTATATTTCCATAGAAAAATCCTTGTGCTTTACTGTAAATAAGGCTTTTCCTGCACTGGAACATGTTAAGCCCAGAGTTATGGGTGACCAAGTTAGAGTTTTGTGTGTATAATGTGTGGTGAGTGACTGGCTGGGTAGTAATTGACTTGGGTGTGTGTCCTCAAGAGCCATAAGTACTGGTTTTGGATGGATCTTCTTCCTATCCTGTTACTCTGGTCTTTTCTTTTCTTGCTTGATTTCTTGTTTACTTGTTCTTAGTTTCCCACCTTTATACCCTCTCTCAAACTGATCGTGATCCCTCGAGTTTTCCCAAATTAAACCAACTAGGCATGGTTTATATTTATTGTTATTGGCTGTTCCAATGACAATGTTATTTTTGGCCTTGACTGCAGGTCTTAGAAGTGACATGTATTAAATGTTTAAACATCCACTTTCACACGGCCCTGCAAACACTGTTGAACCTCTTCTGGGAGATTTCAAATGGTGTCTTGTAAATAAACAGCTTTGCTTATACCCATCTGTCTCCCAGAGACAAATAGATGCTTTTAGGCCATCCCTAGTTTACATACAAAAGCATTTTAAATAAACGATAGCTCTGACTCACATACATGTACGTGTACGGTCAAAGGGTTGTGAAATTTTGGAATTCCTTGATTGAGAAAGTGCAAAGGGCACTCGAATACCTCGAGCCATTGGGTGACAGCGCAGAAGTGGAATACAGAAATCCTCTGTAAGTGAGATATCAGAGTTTGCTGGGCTACGAGTAAACAAAAGTAAAAAATTAGATGTTCAGCTAAAATATGAGCAATTGCGCAAGCTTAAAATTTGCGCTAAATATAGTTCAGCAGTATTCCATCTAGTGTTGTCAAAAGACCCGGTATTTCGGTACCAAGTCGATACTACAAAAATGAAAACGTTACGGTACCAGGTTTTCTTAAGTACCGGTGGTACCGAGTACCCGGTCAACCGGGTTCTTGATGCGCTAAACGAAAGCTATCCTCTTCCAGTGTTGCCAAGTCCGTGGTTTTCCCGCGGAATTGGGCTACTTTAACACTGTTGCCGCGGGTTGTTTTTCTTTTTGTGTTTTGCTTTGGTACCGAAATTGGTACCGAGAACCGTGGATTTTCACTGGTATCGGTACCGAATACTGAAATTTTGGTACCGTGACAACACTAAATCAGAACAGGGTTGATGAAAGCAGTGATAATCTGTACCCTGAGGTGTAATTATTCTCTGCTTTATGTGATGCTAATGCCCTCTTCTTTTGCCTTATTCAATTCGCCACAGAAACCATTTATCTCCATCTATGGGATTCTTAATCTTACTCAACTAGCAGTCAACCACAACAACTCATTGCTGGTTCTTTCCATTGCAGTACCATTTGCCTGGGCAAGTTTAGATAATGAGGAGCACTTCCAAATGGGTTTGGTTGACGTCTTTGATCCTCTGTCAACCTTATGTGCCAACATCAAACAAAACGAGAGTGGATGACATGGTTGTTCTGATCATTTCAGGATAATGACTGCTGAAACATACTAATTAAATGAAACTATGCTCACTGGAACTCAAAATGTTTGCGTTGACCATGTAGGAGGAGGTGAGCGAGTTACCATAAGGAGGGAATTGTGTGGATTTTTCCACCTTAGTAATTGGTCACGTACAATTCTGCCATTTTTGCGTATATAATTTGGTACTTTTTTGAGTTCAGTGACATAGTTGGTCCACCAATGGGGTGGAATATTTAGGTTTGACGCTCTATATACACTGTGGCTTTTACATAAGAGGAGTGAACTTTAGGATTGTGTGCATGTGCTGAGTGTATTGTGCTGCTAGTATGTGAGATCAGCAGTTTCCTGCCTCCATGTCAGCTCTGCGTCCCCCGAAACAGGACAAGCTATAGCGGAAACCGGAGGCCTGCTAATCCTCAGTGACCCTCCAACTCGTCCGCTCAGGGTTTTCTATTGTCACTCTCGGTCACTGGCTTCATTCACTTATTCATTTCCCACCTATTAAGGAATTTTGTTTATGCCTTTGCTTAACATTTTTGGCCTTAACCAGACTTTTCCCATCTGTGTTGCCATCTCAAAGTTTGGACGATGGGCTGATGTTTTGTATGGGTCAGAACGAGAGCAAACCAGAGCACTGGTTGTGCCCATTCAGTTGAGAGATTTGTTTTTTTTTGTAGTATATTTAGGTTTCTTAGTTAACTATTTTCCTAATTAACAAATCTTCTGGATGAGTCTCAGTGTTTGTGTCCTTTTGTGTGCTGTCATCTTCTCTTCCTCTTGCCCTCTTTCCTTTAGAATGAGTGGAAAGTGTGAAAAGAGAGGGATTAGAGCATTTATTGTGTCTGTTAATGACTAGATGAAAGAGTGAGTGGAATTGTAAAGCGTAGATGTAATTCTCTTACAACTGTTCCATTGGGCTGATAATCCTTTGCACTAATGCTCTCACCACACCTAGAGACCATTCCCTCCCTGCTGGCTTCATGTTACCACTGCATCCCCCCCCCATACATACAAACACACTCACAGCTCTGGCTTTGTCCCGTCTGACCAGAAGAACCACTCCAATGACCATTTTGTGGTCCATTTTGTGGTCCAACCATGTTCTGTGGAAAATGCATTTTTGTAGGAAAATTAGTATATGCAACTTTCAGTAACTCTCAAAAATATTTAGGGATGAACTGATATAAAAACACTAGCAAAAAATGAAAATCTGAAAATTATTTCATTATTTAATATTTTATTTTCATGCCTGATGGTATAAATATCAATACTATTTTGTCTTGGTTATGCATGTATTTAAAAATAAGTACTTCTAAAAATAGATAGAAACTCTAATAATAGGCAGAAGCAGATAGATCAACAAAAAAATATCCAACTTCAAATTTTCAATATTGACTCATTGACTGATATGATAAATAAAAAATCACTACTATAGGCCGAAACCTGATTTCATCTATTTTTATTGTGCATACCTTAAAAATGTTGTTTTATTTATTTATTAAACAATTAATGTAATATATATTAGTTAAAAGTGTGCTGCTCCACCAGGTGTTGATGGGCGAGTATATCAACACCACAGCAGAGTAAAAAATAAGTTTAGATATTAGAAATATTATTATAAATAATTGTTTATATATTTATTATACTTTTTAATATATATTTTTTTATAATATTTATAATAATATAATAAATATTATTGATACTTTATATATACAGTATATAACTAACAATAATTATAATTAAATATGTAAACTTAATTTTATATGTTTGTTTAAAGATTAGTTAGAGCTATCAGCACATATAGCTGAGTAGTAAAGTTGTCTTCACCTCCTTGTAGGCTGCAGAAAACCAATGTTTATGATTGCACCATGCTGTCTTAATCTTCATTTTCTCATGCGTGCATGTTTTATTTTCTCAGTGGCTCTCTGTCTGAATTTAACCTCTTCCCCTGTGAAACGAGCCCCTGGCCGCTGTCCGCACTCACTCTGCTCTGCTGTTTGTTTTACTTGGCCATCAACACCTGGCGGAGCAGCACACTTTAACTCAACTCTGCCTAGGGCAACATGTAAGCCCCTCTGTGCCTAGGTTTAAATGACTAGGCCTTTTGTTTTTCTTTCCTTTTTCTCATTCGAAACCCCCCCTGTCAAACTCTTGTCCTGGAGGGGTTTGCGCTGTCCCGCCGCCATGTAAACACTCATTCATTCAGCCCTCCTTCCCCTTCTCTGTCAACCCATCCATCCATACATCTGTCCATTAATGTCACCCTCTCATCAGTCTTCGCTCTGACTGCTCCACTCAACCCACACGGCTCACAGACCCCAGTAGGTCATCGGCAAGCAGGATCCAGCTACTCTCACAATAAACAAACAGTCACTCAGAGGCTCTTATGGCCTGGGCTCTCGGTGCCAGATAGTGAGACAGGGCCCATGAAAGACGGCCGACACATCTCTGCATCTCTGCTGGGAAGTTTGTATTACATAAATAATCAACGTTCCTCAAAAGCCATAAGTCGTTGTTCGCCTCTGACCTCTCGCTACGCTTTTGGCGAATGAGCCAGTTTCTCCTTTCCAGAGTGTGTCTAACATTCACCTTCTCTGTCCATGCATGCTTTGATTGGCTGCCTTAGAAAGGAAGCTACGCGTCAGCCTTGCGCTTCCTGCTTCCTGTTGTGTCCAAAACGCGAAGACAAAGCCCCTCGCGCTGAACCACATTCCTGCAGTATTTTGGAAAGTGAAACATTGGCTAAAAACACCACAGTAGCTTTAGAATTCAGTTGAGTTCTGCCATGTAAAATAGTTTTTCTAAATTGTAAATAAATTTTACAAAAAAAATTACTCTTTCAGTATTTATACATCAAAATTTCACATTTAATTCAGTGTGTTACTTGCTTTGTCTTTGTAATTATTTTAATGTTTTTTTTAATTAATTTAATTGCAGAAAAATTAAAAATCAATACTATTTTGTCTGACAAAAACTATTTATTTTAGTTTTTAGTTTCTTTTTACGTCAAATCAGTGTTGTTACGCCTAAGTGAATTTAGAAAACACAAAATAAATAGTTACATTAATATATGTATTATTTTGTTGGTAAAAAAAGAAAGAAAAGAAAAACAAAATCTAAAAACACAACCTCCACAAAGAAATATTAATTTATTTTAATTATTTCCTATATTTCCTATCAATTTCTGAGCGAAAATAGTTTCAAAGCAAATCCTACATCACGTTTTTTTCATTGTGGCTTGAAAAGTTCGTAGATCTGATTCCTTACACACAAAGTGTTTTGAATAAGTTTTGAGTCTTTTGTAAACTTTTTGCATAAAAGGATTAAAGCAGCCCTCCAAACGCCATCAGGTTTTTGTCCGTGGCTGTTAAGAAGCCAGCCAGCGCATTAACGCATCATGCGGCATCTACACTATTCGAAACAAGTGTTTTCTCTCTCACTGCCCTGAGTGGCATTCTGCGCCTGTTGTCCGGACTGAATGGGCCGTCGAATGTTGTGCTAGACGCTCACATGTGGCAATGCGGCAAGCGAGGGGACTTAAGAATTTGGAGATTACTAGTGGAGAGCCGAGAGGGGGGCGATATGAAACGGGGTTCGCAGCAGCAGCTGTTTGGCCCCCTTCGCTGTGAATAGGACAATTCTTTTTCTTCCCCTACTCCCCCCTTTCCTTTCAAATCCCACCAGGACTCGTTATCCCTCTCTCCCTCAGTCCCCCTGTCTCCCACACTATCCCCACCTCCACAGAGGGGTGCGTTAATGAGTTGCAGTAAAGTCTCCACAACAGCTGGCACAGAAACAAGATGAGGAGTCAACTTGAAAGAAGGAATAAATAACACATTGGCTCGATCTTCGCTGCCACGCTGAATTCTTTTCATGCTGCGAGTTTTCTTTTGAAATAAGAGAATGCGTGCTCTCAAATATTAGAGGTAATGTATACCACCGTTAACCCCCTTCCTGTGAGGGAGAGCAAGTGGCTCAATCCAAAACAAGGCCTCAATTGATACAAAGCATTCAGGAAGGAGGAAGCACCCTACTCTGTAATTATAACTGTTTGGCAAATCTTCAGATAACAAACCATTAGAAAATGGAAACAATGATTTGGTATGTGACCACTGTGCTACAGAAATACAACGACTGCAAAAAGTATTTGCTCATTTTTTTGCCACACTTAAAAATTGCATTAATATACACATTTGATCTTTATTTATTATAATAGTATATATATATTTTTTTAGCTTATTATAAGCTACATTATTTTCTAATGTGATTATAAATAATGGTTATAAGCAAAAATATATTTAAAATAAAATAATTACAGAGATAATATTTTATTATAATATTATGTTTATTCTAATATCCATCTTCTCTTATTTGACACTAAGGTATTAAAATAGTACTATTAAAAATCTTTTAATGGAAATAATAAATAAAATGAAGACAAAAAAGTGGGGAAACTGCAAAAGCTGCTGCATGGCGTTTTATACTGATAGACTTCCTCATCACAGGTATATGTTTCGCACTTCTTCAAAGTGTCTTAATACTGACATTTTTGAGCAAATGTCAGTAATCATCTCTCTACTAGTATTACACTGTCTTTGCCTCTGGCAGTATTTCAACACACAAATACAGATATTTCACCTGATCAGACACATGGTGTACATGATTGTGTAATATTGCCACCAATAATCTAAGCCTTGCGTGTGTCTGAGCTTGTTGCCTGACTGATAAAACTTGCTCTTGAAACTGAAAACCAGATATCACAGCTTCATTGTGAAAGTAAATAAATGGTCCTGTATGTGGCTGCTCCAAGAAACGAAAGAGCCAGATTCAGAACGGAAGCAGTGTGTGTTTGTGTGTGCATAGGGTGGTGGTGGATTGTGAATGAGAGTCTGGACAGCGGAAGGACATGAGCTGGGCATGTTGGAATGTTTCTAGACAGATTCCGAGGACACCTTCCTTTTTCTTCCTGTTTGTACATTTACAAAGTCTGATTGACTAAATTTATGCTTAAAAATCCTTTTTTTTTTCTTAATTTAATTAATCAACAAAATGTTTTGTGACCCCGAAAAGATTTTGATTACAAGTCATACACGTTTGCAAATCCTTTTGTTTTTTTTATTATAGAATGCGGTTGTAAATCATCAACATTCTTTTTATTATCCTTTTTTTTTTTCGTACATTTTTTGTGGCCCCAGATTTTGGACACACTTGAACACACAATTCTTACTTGAATGACTTCACATTTTAAACCTTTTATGACATTTAACCAACTGACCTCAAGGTAATTTTTAGGTTATGTATGATGTAATTTCCCCTCAAGTTTACACAGGTGTCCAATTTAGAGGAGTAACCACAGGTGTAGTTCATCACATTAACTATGGACATGTTCTGTGATGTCTGACAACCACAGCCTGTCCAAATACTTAATTTTGTACAGTACATTTATCATGTAAAACCTAAATCTTGTAAAGTCATTGTGCTGCTGCAAGTAAATGCTACATTATTTAAAGGGGTCATATGATGCGATTTCAAGTTTTCCTTTCACTTTGGAGTGTTACAAGCTGTTCGTGAATAGATAGGATCCCTAAAGTTGCAAAGACTAAAGTCTCAAACCCAAAGAGATATTCTTTATAAAAGTTAAGACTCGTCCACGCCCTCCTAAAACGCCTTGTTTAAACACGCCCCCACATGTCTATGTCACTGTGTGGGAAGATTTGCATAACGCCGCCCAAATGTTCACGCAAAGAAAGAAGGCGTAACTTTGATTCTCGCTGTGGTATTGTTACGTGAAGGCGCTGTGTGTTTCGTTATGAAAGTGAATCTACTTTGTTTGGCCTTCCAAAAGAGGACACAACTAGAAATCAGTGGTTAAGTTGTATTTACGTACGTTTTCATATTTAAAGAATTATTTTTTAGCAACGTCATATGACCCCTTTAATATTTTGTTATATAATGCAAAGACATTCATGTATTTTTAAGTGTGGCTTAGTGGTCCAAAGACTTTTTGGGACCACTGTATGTCTAATATAATGTATAATCACTGTATGAATAATATAATGTAATATATGATACGTATATACTGTATGTCTAAATGTATAATATCTACTAGACTTGGTTGACAACAGCATTCTTCTTCTTTATTGAATTCTTTGTTAGATGCAGCATTCATCCTGTCTGTTGGTTTTAATGCGTTTTGTTCTGTTTTCTCTCGTGGTGGAGTTTTGAGAGCAGAGGTACCGTGCTGGAATGTGGGATGACTGGTCCTGTTTGTAGAGAATGGGGGGGATGGTTCACACAGGATGAGTAGGAGTGTGCTTAGTCTTGCTCTGTCAACTTTGTGCACTCTTGCACAAAAAAAAAAGCTGTAGAGAACAAAAAACATCTTCAAAGGAGGTTAATTTACTGTGTTCATACATAGATGATCACTTGACATGTATATACGCTGTGAGCAGTTTAATTGCACAATTTGCTCTCATCCTCATCCAAGTCATCATACATGTGCTTTTTTTTTTCTTGCAGAATGTCAGTCTGGCTTCTTCAAATCGTCAGTGTCCAGTGAGGCCTGCAAACCCTGTCCAAAAAACACCCAGCCCTCAGGTCATGGCGCCACCAGCTGCACCTGCAAGGACGGCTTTTATCGAGCAACTGAGGACCCCAAAACGGCCGTTTGCTCTGGTGAGAAGCTGCTTCTACATCTCACCTGTCATGAGCTAGTTGCTGTCATTTTGTATTTACATACAATATCCTTTCTCTGTCACTCTTTTCTGTAGGGATTATCTAAACCAGTACAGGTGAATGGGTAAATAAAAGGCTTGTCTGCTCTTTGTCTGCTCAGGTTTACCCTCCGCTCCTCAGAGTCTGGTGGCCACCACAGCTCAGATGTCAATAGGCAGGCTTCAATTGTCATGGAGGCCCCCTGCAGACACCGGCGGACGCAGTGATATCACATACACTGTGGTTTGCGAGCGTTGTGAGGGGAGGGCATGTCAGCCTTGTGGCGAGAAAGTGCGTTTAGATCCAAGCAACACTGACCTGAAGGAGACCAGAGTCACTGTGAGTGAACTGGAGCCCCTTTTGAACTACACCTTCACCGTGGAGGCACGGAGCGGAGTGTCCCAGTTCAGCAATAAGAGAGCCACCAGCAGCATCAACACTGCTTTACATTATACAGGTCGGTGCTCTAACTGATCACAGTAGTAGAAAGCAAAGTGGCCAGTTTAACAGATTTACTAACAGAAAAAAATAAATAAAATTCTACCGTTCAAAAATATGGGGTTAATAAGATTTGTATTTATTTATAAATTAATACTTTTATTTTTAAGCATTAAATTAATCAGAAGTAACAGTAAAAACATTTGTAATTTATAAAAGCATTTATTTCTAAAGGATGATGTGACATTGAAGACTGGAGTAATGGCTTCTGAAAATTCGGTTTTGCCATCACAGGAATAAATTACATTTAAAAATATATTAAAATAGAAAATGGTTATTTAAACTGTAATAATATTCCACAATACTAATGCTTTTTCAAATAAATTTTGATTACTTAAATGCAGCCTTGATGAGAATAAGAGACTTCTTTAAAAAAAAAATTATAATAATTGTACCGACCCCAAACTTTAAAAAAAAAATAGTTTTGTTTTTTTTTCATTCTCATTTTCAGTCTCTCAATTTTAACTCTTTCATTTCATTTTCACAATTTTTTCTTTGGGAAATGAAAACTATAAAAATATATATTTTAAAAATTATAGTAGTAGGCTTTAATTAAGGTTTAAACATGCAGCAGAAATCTAATAGTTTTAGTTTTTGTAGTATAAACAGCAAAAAACAGACACAAAGTCGGATGTTTACAAACCTGATTCAAACCACATCCATTTGTGGTTTGAAATCCGATTAAAATCAGATATTTTGTGAATTATAGTCTGTACGTTGACTCCAGTCAGATCGAATTTCAGCTTTTTTTTCCTAACCCTATTGAAAGTGCAGTGTTTACTGGGACTGTTTCCAATTACACTCAATTTTCCCCTCACTATAGCGAACCATGTGACATTCACTATTTGCACACAGTCCTAAAGATCAGATTTAAAAGTTTTGGGTGTACAATATAAACAAGCTCATATACGTCAGAGACTCAAACTTAACTGTTGTTTTACCCCCAGATCCCCCAAAAGTGACTGCGATGCATCTTGTGGACAGCAGCTCCACCAGCCTGTCGCTTCAGTGGTCTGTTTCTCACCGTTCCAAGCCAGTTGCCACACGTTATGAACTGATGTATCGCAAAAAGGTCAGTTACAATATCCATTTCAGTCTTAATACGTAACTGCAAATCTTGATCCATGATGTTATTCTCCATTTCATCATCTTCCTTTCATTGTCATGTCTACAGGAAAATGATGAGGAGATAGCCAATGGAAAGGTCACTACCTACACTGTGCTGGTGCTGGAAAAGAACTTGGTTCAGATCAGTGATCTGTCTCCTTCCACCGTCTACTTGTTTAAAGTTCAAGCTCTCAGCCCAGAAGGAAACCCAGGCAGCTACAGCTTGGAACAGGAGTTTTCAACGCTCCCGCAAGGTGAACAAAGTGAAAATGTTTGCTTTTATGAAATCAAAATTGTATATTTATGGCTTTCAGTTCTCTGGATTTGAGGCCATTTATGTGTTCACATACCTAAACACTGACAAAATTCACTGTTTAAAATGTACAGGCTTTTTCTTAGTGGAAAATGAACCAAAATACTGATGACTCATTCTGCACTACACAGATATTTGTACACAGTCCAATCAAATGTTCTCTAGAATGAGAAAGTCCCGCCCCCAATACCACCAGCAAATCAAGTTCATGGCTATGACGTAACTACATAATATTGGCTATTTAAAAAAGGGACAAACACGATAAAGACAAGTTATGCCCAAATTTCCTGTTTCAAAATGCAATACATCAACACAGACAAAAGGACTGTGCTGGGCAAGCAAATTCATTGGGTCTTTTATAATTAAAAAAATATACATTTTAATATAATTGTACAATAAAATGTTCTATTGTTTTTCTTCTTATGAATGGATTATTTTTTTGAATCAGTGTCAGAATGTGTTGTTTTTTGTTTTTTTTAATAACCTACTTGTCGTTAAGTGACAGATAATGTTTCTTTGCTCTTTTATGTTATGGAGTGTGTTTTATTCTTGAATGACTCATTTGCTTGGCTGCTTTGTTGTTGTTTTCCCAGCTTCTCAAAAACCAGGAAACACAGCAGTGATCCTCGGGGCAGCAATCGGAGGAGGCGTCATGCTTTTCATCGTGGTAGTGGTCCTGCTTCTGCGAAAACGGTTAGCAACAAGCACTTCACGCACACACCCGGCTTTGTACCTCTCCCCCAGTCACTCCTTCAAGCCGTTCCTTTTCTTTCTCCTTAAAAATCCATTCAGTGTTTCCCTTTCACCGCTCTCACACGGCTCCTTACCACTTTTGATTCGCTGACTGCTCACTAAGTGTATCTTAACAAGAGGCGTGTTTGAAAGGAGATGAATCAGACAGGCATATTGTGTAAGACAAGAGGCGACGGGATTGTAGCAGTTCTGTGAAGGCGACCTGAGCCCTTCGTAGTTCCCTGTGATAACCCAGACCTCTGTCACCACTTGGCAAACACAGACCACTTTTTTTCTAAGCACTCCTCGACTGAATGGAGCCGGTCCAGCGCTGGCCACTCTTAAAACTCAAGTCTGAAAAGAAATCTGTGGGTTTGCTGAAAAACAGAGCACTCATTGAGTTGTTTTTCTTCTACAGGCGAAGAAACTCTCACACCAGACAAGGGCCAGAGGATGCCTATTTCTCCAGCCCAGGTTAGTGGCATTGAATTTCATTTGGTGGCTTTCTTCTTTTACAACCCCTCCTCTTAAATTCTCCCCGAATTCTCTTCAATGCAGACCAGTTGAAGCCGTTGAAGACCTACGTTGATCCTCACACGTATGAAGACCCCAACACGGCGGTGCTCAAGTTTGCCAGCGAGATCCATCCTAGTCACATCACAAAGCAGAAAGTCATCGGAGCAGGTTAGTACATCCATGGCAGTCTGACAAGCCGCTGTGGGGCTGTTTTGAATGCATTCTTCAACACTCATTGATTTGAAGTTATGTTACAGTTCATTGAGAGTGACAGCTTTTTTACAGTTCATTGGAGAGACAGCTTAAAACAAGGCGCACATTAGAAATTGTCTGATTCGAGCTTTACATGTTAGAGCTGGAATATTTTTAGTGTAGTAATTAATAAGACGTTTTTTTCCCCTCCCAATGTCATTCAAATTGAATTAGTGTTGTTTTCTTAACCCGCTCTGGAGGTTTTTTTCATATCCCACATGGAGGAGTACTGCTATAAAAAAACCTGAGTTAATTAATCATGACTTAAAAATAAAACAAACAACCGCTAAATTAGACCTAAGTCCTAAAGTGTTTATAGGCTATATATCAAATGTCAAATTTAAATGAGAAGATCAGTGCGCCGTGGTCGCGTTTCCCTTGTCCACTTTTTGTCTGCTTGTTGTGCACAGATTCTCATGCCCCTTCTGACCCCCTCCCATGAATCCACTCACTAATGTTCATAGGCTTCTCCGTGGCCAGATGCATGCTGGTTATCATTTTAAAGCGCCTACTTCATGTTTTTAAATAACCCCTATATGTCATGAGGCACGATTAAAGTGTTGTCATTTGTTGTGTTGCTTATCTGATGCCTGTATGCCTCTCAATTTGGTGGATTGTGTTGCTGTGCTGTAGGTGAGTTTGGAGAGGTGTATCGAGGAATTCTGAAAGCTCCCAGTCGCAAGGAAACAGCGGTAGCAATAAAGACGCTAAAGCCAGGATACACAGAGAAACAGAGGCAGGACTTCCTCAGTGAGGCCAGCATCATGGGACAGTTCTCACATCAGAACATCATCCGACTGGAGGGGGTGGTCACCAAATGTGAGTGCCCTATCAAGTGTAGTCTACATCTAGTTTTATAATAAATTTGCATTTAAATAAATAAATAAATATATTTGTAAAAATTCTCATTATTTATTAGATAATAAAAAATGTGATTTATGATTAAATTGTCAAATAGATAACGATATAATTATAATTAAATAAGCCCTTTAAAAAAAAAAAATTAATTAAAAAAAATAAATAAATATATATATAAAATAAAATGTGCATATATATGTCTGTATATATATATATATATATATATATATATATGTTTGTATATATATGTCTGTCTAATGTATAAAAAGTGCATATATATATATATATATATATACAGTATATACACACTTTTTATTATACTTTTTATTATTTTTATACACTTTTTATTTAATTCAAGAAAGTAAAAATAAAATATTGTTTTATTTTATAGTATAAATATAAAAATGTTTGTATTAAAATTATAGTCATAAATTATT